CCCCAAAACCCCAAAACCCCAAAACCCCAAGCTCCCAAAAATTCCCTAAAATCTAATAATATATTTTTCCTCATAACTCAATTCCAATGACGAGTCCTCACCCAACACATCCTCCAAGTAAGTTCTCCCTTCCTCTCTCTCACTTGTTCTCCTCTCTCCCATCCAGACTTAGGCTCTGTGCTACGAATCTAGCCATCTGGGCTGCACCGAGAGGTCTTAAGAGGATTTTGGAGATTTTTCGGGTAAAAATGGGAACAGCTAAAAATTTTATGTGTTTTTAAGTGAAAATAGGAAATTTTAAAATTTTGAAAATTTTATGAAAGAGGATTTTTGGGGGAAATTTGGAGGTTTTGGATTTTTTATTGTATTTTTGGATTGATAGGGTATTGATAAAATTGTAATTTGAGATTTTTGAAAGGTACCGTTGACTTCTGAGTCTCTTCTCAAATGGATTGTATGTGGTTTGAGATTAAATTTTTGAAAAATGAGTTAGATTCGTAAAAAATAATTATGGGTTAAGAAGAATTTCTATTCTCAAATAATTAAGTATCTGAAAATAATATGTTCTACTATTGCTTTTTAATTAAGAATCTATTGCAAATAAATTTATGGAAAAGAGAAGAGATAACTTTGATAATAGCTTGTTTAAAAAATTAATCTCTCTAAATTTAAAAGCATTGTGTTAGCAATCTAATTTCGTTATTCCCAAAAGTGTTCCAAAACACTCAATTTAGCCACTAACTTCATATCTGTATCTACTAATAAGATGCTCTGTCAGCTTCTCTGACCCTCTGTTTTACATAGACATACCAGCAGAGAGCACTGAAGAAGACCACAAGAACAACTTCTTCGTCGACTATAACCATATCCAGCTGCATAGTCTTACTGGAGAAAGTAATGATTTTGGAGAAGAAGAGTCTAGTCAAGAAGAACTGAGACCGTTGAGAGAAGAAAGTGATAGCAGATCAGAGCCAGATAGTAGTCAAGAAGCGTATGGAAATGATGAGGATAGGAAGAAGAGGTGGAGTACGAGGGCTTTGCAAGGATTTGGGGTTTAGTAATTCATTGGTACTTTTGTAATTTAGGATTTAATAGCTTTTTTTACGAGTATTGGGATCAAGTCTTTGTTAATAGAGTATTTATTAGAGATTTCTTAATATCTTTCACATTTCTGAACTACCCTCTACAGCCACAAGCCTGACTTCCTCTACTTCATCAGAAGACGCCTTCCTGCAGGAGGAATCTGAACTAAGTGCTGAAGTGACTGAGGAAGAAGCTGAGCAGCCTGAAGAGCAGGAAGAAGAGGAAGAGAAGGAAGAGAAGGGGTTTTAGGAATTTAGTGGATGGAGATAGAGAGGGGCAGAGAGATTTTGAAGGGGTTAGGGCAAAGGTGGACATCTGGGACCAGAGGTTGAGAGGAGTGGCTGATGGAGAGTATGAGTAAGTGTTAATGGAGATAGGGGCTTGGGTGATAGGAAGGGAAGGGGTATAATGGGTTTAAGGGACTTGTAGGACATAGAAAAGCTGGATTGTTATGTTATGTTTGAGTATTATTGTGTTCCTTTTTGAGTAAATGTTTGATAAAAGTTATGCATTCAGTATCCAAAGGCTGAAAATTTTAGAATCTAATGTCTACTTAACTTATTCACAAATGAATGTAGGGTTGATATTTATACTAGAAAATCCCATCATTATTCTACAATAAAATGAAAATTTCTTTCTCTTCTAACACATATAAACCTTTCAACGCAATATGAATCTATTTAACTTACGAATTCAAGACTTTAAAGCCCATTAAACTCGTATAGAACCGTACAAAAAATTGCAAATTCTAACTTTTAAAATGCTTCTTTTACAACTATTTCATCAAAATTACAAAATCAGCAAAAAGAAAGTGTCAAATCTTCTATAAATTTTATCTATAAAACACAGGGGTTTTCCCAAATCCATCTTTAGTGATCTGCATTCAAATTTTTTTCTGATTTAAAGCAGACCACCAAGAAGAGGTTTCTGGTTCCATGAATGCTTTCTATATGGTTTAAAGGGATATTTAAGAGCTGTCAATCCTTTGTTTCGTTCTTAGCATTTCGAATTCATACTATGAAGTATTTAGGTGCAATTTTTAGGGACTTTTATGTTCTATGTGCAGTCAAACTTGTTCTTAAAATTACAAAATTCTCTGTAGGAAACTCCAAGCCCAGAACAACAGAAATATTGAAGGTAAGCCAAACTACAGCTTTCTCAACACCAACATATACCCACTAAAACCTCCTTCCTTACTGCTAAAAAATCACAAAACACCTAAAAACTCACCACAAACTTTAAAAAAATCAAATTTTCGAAATTCCAAAACCTCCATTCCCCCCGGGCCCTCTCCCTTGCTCCAAACCTCACTATTCCCATAGGCAGCCTCCAATCCCTGCTCCAAGTCCACACAGAAGAGAACAAGGAACTGCAAGGGCGAGAAGTGTTCATTGGAGATTACGTTGGCGTCCGATGTCTACATGAGAGCACTCTGATGTATCTGCACAGTGAAAAGTAAGCTAACTCAGGGGATTTATTCGGGGGTTAAGGATTGGGTAAACACAGATAGTATATGCCAAGAGGCTGGGGTTTAGAGGGTTAATGGACTTTCGGATGGAGGTGAGGGCATGGGTGTGATATGTGCTGTAGTTTTGAATGGAAATGGACCCCAGATGAGACATTAGCACCTATTATAACGATTGAGCCGATTTTGAGAGAACCACCGTATTCAATATCGAAACTAGAAACTCAGGAATGCCAGGATAAGCCTAATTATCAATGGGAATTGAAAGGAGGGAAGAAATGATATGAAACTGAAATTGAGAATGTTGCTCATAATCTAAGTTACTTTCAAACTAAGCAAACTCACCCTCTTGCAACTAACAAAACATTTGTATTAAAATTTGTGGGCAATAATATCAAAGAATGCAACTTCGAAGTTCCAGAATTGGACAAAAATGTTGCTATAAACCAATGGTCACTTGTATGCATAAATGAGGATACTGAGGAGTTCACCATCAGACCTCAGACTCCTTATTACCTCTCAACAATTATTGGGCATAAGTTCTATTATCTGAGTAAAGAATCGGCCAGCACTTTGAGTAAGTTCTTGTCTCCTAATATTCAGCCAAGTACAAGGAAGACGCTGAGGAAGTGCATTTCTGTATTACTAAAAGTTTACCGGTATAGATATCACACAGAAGGAAACTAATGAGATGGACCAAGGTGAGCTAAAACCTCTTGTAACTATCGCTCCTTGTAGCTATATGGATCTTTACCACAGACTTCTAGGTTAGAGTCTTAGCTCAGGCTACATACCTTCATGAAGATAGACACTCTGTGGTGTTTTAGGAAGATTCTAGTAGTCAACTTTTCAATGAGAGGGTCTGAAGTATCTCCTGTATTAAAAGCACTTTAGTTATGGGTTGAGGCGTTGTGGGATTCAGACAAATTTTGGCATTTGAAGTTATAGTTACAGTCACGATGGAAACAATAAATTTTAGCTGAGTATAGAGATTTAATATGTCAAAGAATTGAGTTAAGGGTGCCTATGTTTAGATGAGATGAAGTTAAGGAGTAAATATAATTTTGTTATTTGCTGTATTGTAAGAGAATTATTATATGAGTATGGTAACCTCTACGAATCGACTAGAATCTAAATTCTATTACAAATCTGAAAAGAAGACAATTTGATATGATTAGTCTTTCATTTTCATTAACTTTTGAGATACTACTTAATTCAAAGTAATTGACCTATCTTTCTTAGTTAAAGTCCTATCAGAGGTTTCTTTGATTCTGTCAACTATAGTTCCATTGAATTACCTTTAAGATTCTCTCATCTAAAAATTTCAATTGAAATTTTCACTCTATAACTACAAGATATTTTACTATTACAAGTACTAGGACTTAATCTGGTGTGCACCACTTCTCTTAAGATAATCAGATTTGGAGCTTATATAGCTAATCTTCGTCTTCCTTGGTCAATATCCTGTATTTTGTTTCAATTTTAGCCAAGGAGTTGACAAGTAATACTATGATTAAAAACTCCAAGAAGCGCCATTAACCATAAGTTGTAATTAGCTGCATGCCAGTCTTTAAATTCATTATATTCTCAGTACTAAGAAAATAACTTTTGATGAGAACCGAGGACAATTATCTCTATTTTTGATAATTTGTTAGCTCAATGTTGCACATAAATTTTTACCATAAATCTTACGGCTAAAAATAGCTGAGAACATAATAGTCGAGCTAGTGGATTCTCACTATTATACGATGATTAAGAAGAGATGTTTGAAGAAAATTTTATCCTATTTAATAATCTTCTACTTGGATCTAAGTTTGTGATGCATTGTATTGTTTCAATCACCCTGCTTATTATACAAAACTCCTTAAATTTGCTTAACATTTAGCTTAAATTAATTATCAGTCTAATTTCCATATAGTAAGACATAGAGTGACTCGTATGGATTGCTATTGCTTATTCGACCATGAAAACAAACACTTGAACTTAGTGCATTATTATATGAAAAATTGGTTAGCCCAAAACACTCCAAAAGGGATACTAATGACTAGGTACACTTCTTTATCAAATATTCCAGTGCAGAACTACTTTAAGATAAGACATTATCCTCATCAGAGAAAAATTGTGTTCGAGACTATAGTGAATTACTCCAGTCTTCTTAATAAGAAGCCAATGGCGAAATACTTAGCCTATGAGAATGGTGCCCTCACTTTAGTAGACTATAAGTACATTTTTGAGCTACAACAAATCGAAAAAGGAGAAAACTTGTACTCAAATCAGCCTTTTATGGTGAAAGTTCCCAACAAAAACAGATATTTATGAAGTATTCCTTCTGATTACACAGATAATCGTAATTTAATTGCCAAACCATTTGATTTGGCTCATGAGAAAAGATTCTATTTCCACCTCAGACACATTCAAGCGTATGGCTTAGCACAAGGGAACATTACCACAGCAGACATGCAATTATGGAATGCCTTCTCTGTGTTGAAAAGGATAGAGAGGGAAGGAATTGATAACATAAATCCTAATGACCTTCCAATCGCTTATACTCATGTCAAAATACCTTTACAAAGTCTATATATCTGGCTTGAAGATAAAGAATCTAACAAACTCAAATATAATTTCTACAGCCAAATATGACTAAATGGTAAGCTTTTGGTAGCATTATTGACATTAATCCTCTTCAGAATTCTCATGTGATATAGGTTATTACAATCAACCCCAAATGGCTTTATTCTACTCCAAATCATATTACCAGTGGTACTTTGGTAAACTCAGAGAACTCAGACGGAAGCTGATAAGCAACAAAACAGATTTAAGCCAGATAAGTACGATATTTACAAATTTTAACCTGCTATTTTGAACATATGTCAAACCTTTTTGTTCGAAAGTGGCTATTTCAAAATATTTTGCTTAGTAGTGAGAATAGTTGCACCTCATAGAAGTTTTTATTGTCGATATTCCTTGAAAATTCAAAACTAGATACAAATCTTGAGCTGATATTTACACACAAATATTCTTGTGCTTATGGTTGATAACTAACTTTGAGTGGTGTGAAATTTGAGTTTTAGCTACTGATCCTTCCTATAGGCCTCCATCCCTCCTTGCTCTATTATCCACAATGTGAATACCTGCTGGCTCTTGGCTCTCCAAAAAGGAAGAATGATTTCTGATCTGTACTCAAGCAGGTTAAATACTTCACTACTGATCCTAAAGAGTGAGGTGAAGCTGATAATAGCTACAAGTATTTTAATGATAATTTGTAGGAGAATAATGACACTTCAGATGATAGTTACTAACTGTTATAGTGATGTCAACATGAATTGTAAAGGTAACTACTTTCTTAATCAATAAATATCCTACCAGGTGGATGCAATTTAAAGATTTCTCTCCTATTTGTATTGTATGATCGATGAAAAAGGACATTTGATCATTCTCAGCTGATATTTGGTGTTAAGTGAGAAATTTGAGCCCTTTTGTTTGAAGAATTAAATTAGTAAATCATTTCTCAACAATGTTGGATTTCACTAAGCCTTGCATAAACTGCATTGGATAATTTCTCAGCTAAAATTACTTATAAATTTGATTTAGGTACAGAATCTGTTATTTACGAGAAAGAATGCTTCTTGCCATTTGTCCAATATGAGCTAAGCAAAGGGGAAGATCTCTGAGATCTAAGCATTCTACTAGGACTGGTTTCAAACAAGTACAGGGATGCATGGTGAATCTGGAGTTTCTGCATCTCTAACCCTCCCTTAATCAAGTATGTGTGAGAGCACCTTAAGTCTCATATTTTTCCTATTGATGAGCTCGAGATCGACTCAATAATCAGACTAGCCAGTGACTATAAAGAAGAATTACTCGAAAATGAAGACTGGAAAGCCGAGATGTTCTTTGAAGGAAGATTCCAAGCTGATATTATGCTCAAAAATCAGAATACTCACTTACGAGAAATCATGGTCATGGTTATTTACAGCTACGGTATCCGATGCGGACTCATCAATGATGCAGATTTTGTAGAGAAATCTAACATTTTTATACTAGAAAGTTATCGTCATCAGAGGATTAGCTCTCATATTTTGGGCTTGCTATTGACATTATCTTGAAATATTAATGTTCCTTCAGAAAATTCTGATCTTCCTACTAGAGACCAAAAGGATTCAATGAACATGATGATCAGCAGTTGCCTACAAGTCTTGAACTCCTTTGAAAATTATGATTCGATTGAAGACTTGTTCTTGATATTAGAAATTTTTGAATGTCTGAATTGAATGCTTCAGAGTACTGATTATCAGAATAATATTCTACATAATCTGAAGATAAACTTTGGATTTAAACCCTTGATAAAACTATTGAATGATCTCTCAGAAAGATTTTTGTTAGCCAGACCTAGTACTTTTGACTGTACCAAACATACACCGCTGTATGACTGGAAACTAGTGAGAGCTAACAAAGCAGCTGTTGATGATCGAGCTCATGATGTAGATGTAGTCAAAGAATCTTACCAGAGAGATATTTGAACAAAAATATTGAGCATGCTCAGTCAGATATACAAAATTAAAGATGACAAAGATAATAGAAATGAACCAGTTAGGAATATTCCTTATATTTCTGAGGCTTTCATGAACTCTTCTTCTACTTCAAAAGAATTTTCAAATACTCTTCTCAGAGTTATTATAAAGTGGGGTAATTTTGATAATGAGCCTGAGGTTACAAGACATATTTTCAATCTTATCTTAAAATATGATGGCAAGCTTGAGGAACCATTTGAAGACATAGATGACGACAAAAGGGAGAAAGATTTCGGCGACTTATGCCTCAGAACACTACCTTTCTTCACACATCTAAAAGCAGAATACAAAGAAGATGTTGAAATACTACAAGAGAGGGTTAAAGCATTATCCCAAAACCTTCCTGCTACAAAAGATATTCCTCCTCCAAAACCCCACACCAAAGCCATCACCAGTATAATATCCCTCCTTGTGCGTATCAACAGCTTGCTCGACTTCAAGACGACCACAGACAAAGCCTGTGTTAAAATCGTGAACCAATTCATAAAAACCACATATGATTTCTTAACAAAAGGCGCCAACTACCCAGCAATCAGGGAGGCGATCTTCAGCTTCAACAGCTACTTGTTCACTCTCTCGTGGAAGAACAGGTTGTGCAACTCCCACCACAGTGATCTCGTAGAGACCATTCTGGCCCAGAGCAGAGCAGAAAGATTCAACTTAGACTCAGTGGAGATCCTCACGGAGGTATTGGCCAAGCTCGGCCATACCTTTGAGTGGCTTGACCAAAGCCTTATTGAAGAAAATGATCCAGAGATTAGGAGACTTTGTGGGTTTGAGATGAACAGAGTGAGAGACGATTCAAAAATAGTAGAGATACAGAGAAGGATATAGGAGAGGGTGGGGAGGAGAATGAGGAGGGAGATGACAGAGAGGGTCAGAGGTATGGAATTTATGGCTTAAATTGGACAAAAGGATCGAAAATGATGAAGATTTTAATAAAGAAGTTTATATCAGACCAGAAGAGCCAAAGTAAAACAAAGTTATTTGAATCTACTAGAAGTTTCCAGCTGCTTCTCTATAAACTCTTCTCTAATATACAAGTTCTTGATCCAGAGTATGACACTTATTACTATATTCTTCAAAGCCTCGAAATGATTCTTGAAGTTCTTAGCAATTCTAAAATATTGGAGAACTCTGAAATTTGTCACATGTTTTACACTGAGCATTCGACAGATGCTATTTTCTCTTTGATCATTAAGAAGCATAGCTTCAAAGGGGAGTCACAAAGAGTGCGCCAAATGGCATATAAAATCCTGATAAAATTTATGGAAGTTGATATCTCTGCTGCAAGAAAGAGTTTTAGATATTGGACCCATATTGGCGACAACAAGAACCTTTTCTTCGGCAGGATCCAACGTCTCTTTGCTCAGTTCAGTACTTATTTCATGGAAGAAAAATTAAGTTTCATCGTTAGCAAATACTTAGATGAAACTGATTATAACGAACTGCTTTGATGTCTGCAATGGATGACAGTGTTATGCCAAAATAATAGAAATTGGCAAAGATATCTAAGGAAGCAAGACAACTCAGTCAAAAATCATAACCTTCTGCTTGAAATGATAGAACTTCTGAGGACAAGTGCTTTGAGATATCATTACGAATACGCCATCGATCTCCTCAGGGCTATCATAAGATTCATGACAGCTTCAGTGAATGGCAAAAATGAGAAGCTTATAGGTCTCTATGTCAACTCTAATGTTGTGAGATATTGCAAGGGGATCCTTGTGACTGGGCTATCTCCAAGAGAGGTTGAATTTGTCAGTAAGATACACAAAAAATCAAATTCTGAAGTGCTTGAAGAGATGGAAAAGAGCTTAGAAAATCCTATACCCAGAGATTGATTAAAGTAAGAGCCATATTCTATTTTTCCTATTCCGTTATTTAACGATATCTATGCTACTTTATGAATGGAACAAACTCAATACACAAGTTTTCTTATATACAAGCACTCGAGGTGTTTTATCCCTTGAATGTTAATGTATATATTCATCAATTAGCCAAGCATTGTTTCTAGCTGGATGTTTCTGAGAAGATTTCATTAACTCATGACTAATTTTTAGCACTTATAAATTTGTTAAAGCTTTCGGTTTGGTCAGACTTTCATAAATACATTTGCTCATCACATAATTTTCATATTTTTTAATGAACACCCAGGAGTTGTACTTATATTAATTATATCTAGGAAGTATAGCCTGCTTAAACAAGAAGTTCTGTGGCTACTGAACTGCTTAGTGATCTATAATACAGAACACGAAATTAGAGCATCTGAGAATCATGAAGTTATTGATAACCTCATGGTTCTGAATTATGTCAAATTCATTATTTACAGAGGTCAAACTAACGATCCTATAATATTTAAGACCGACTGAAAGCTTTCAGAAGTGTACAATATTAACGTTGGCTTCCAGAGCTATTACTTAATAGCTAGATTATGGGACAACAACAATCAGAGTCATTCCAATTGAGTACAGAATACTGATGAATCAGGCATTGTTAAGAAGTACTTGAGGCTATTAAGAGCAATAAGCAATAGAATACTTACCTTCAGGCTTAGATACGAACCTCCAGCTGATGGAGAGTATAAGAAATTTGAAGGCAGAAAGAACCTAATTGCTGAGGCCACTACCTTCTTTGATGATTATAGTTCAAGTATTGAGATAGTAATGCCCAATGGAGACTTAGAAACTAGATACTTTGAGATACTCCCCTGTTTCTTGTCCTTTACACAGAATGAGAAAGACATTTTCTGGCTTGGTGCTAATTTGGACGATAGTAAGACTGCAGTCATCTCATTTGTGGAATATGCTCAAAATAAGATAGATGAACTATTTATTCAGCAAGATGTTCAAGACAAATGGTTCTGTCCGAGAGATGTTGCGAAAAAGGATAATTGGTTGACAGACTTAGGCAGTGTCTTAATCTTTATAATGAACTTCATACTATTCTTTGCCCTAGAAGTTAATGAAGGAGAAACTCTTAATAAGCCCAGTCTGTTTGGGTTGAGTTCATCAATCACAAAGATCATTCTCTTCACACTTGGCATTATGATTCTAATATTCTTCGCCTTCATAATTATAATTCAAGGAACTATTGTAATTCGGATGAGATCAGCGAGAGCTTTGCGAGATGACAATCAGAGTAAAGAAAAGAGCACGCTATCAAAGTTCTTTACTGTTTTCTCATACATAATGCATCATAAGGATAAGACTCTTCAAGCAAGAAGTATTTGGTGCATTGTATTATGCTTAGGGTTTGCTGTAGCTGGTCTAGCAAGTGATTATTTCTGGTTTTCCTTCACTATAATGTACTTACTAATCTTCTCCCCTCACATCACAGAGGTAAGTAATGCTATTTGGAACCCTAAAAAGCGTATCCTGTCAACACTTGTACTGAGTGCTGTTGTTGTGTACTGGTTCGGAATTATAGCTTATGTGTATTTTGGCAGCGACTTCGATGGTGCAGTCAGTGGCTCTAATATCACTCTCAGAAGAACTATAGCTGTCATATTTGACTCATGGTACAATTTCGGAGTCGGGGGTTTTCTCTCTGACAGAGGTAGATCAGCTATTATGAAAGATGTAGGAGAAGAGGAGTTCCAATACCATCTCATTGGCTCCAGAATAGGCTTTGACTTCTTATTTTTCTTCGCAGTGAATACTTTGCTTCTAAATATTCTTAGTGGTATCATTATTGATAATTTTGGAGAAAGAAGAGCTAAAAGTGATAGCATTCATCAAAGACAAAATGATCTTTGCTTTGTGTGTGGTGAAATGTCACGTGATTTGCCTGATTTTGTTAACCATTGAAAGTATACACACAATATTTGGGACTACATGTATTACATCGGGTACTTAAAAGCCATGGATTCTTCCTCCATGGAAGACTACAGGGACATCCACGTGCACAGTTGCCTCCAGCAAGGCTTGAACGACTGGTTCCCTGCCTATAAAGACCAAGTTAATATAAATGAGTAATACATTTAGCCAAGTTGTGTACAAATGGGTGGGAACGCCACAAAGCGTGATTTTAAGGATAGAATTGGTAATTTAGGGGGAGTGGTGATTTTAGGATAGGTCTGGCTTATTTGGGAGTATCGGAGAGCTTTTTAGAGAGGACTCAGAGCGGCTGTGATGCTGTGGGTTTTCGAATTCTTAGAAAAGGAGGTCTGCAAGTGGAGTTTGGGTGGGTTTTGTTGTGCAGATTTTTATAGGTTAGGTATAAGTCTGTATTAAGACTGTCTTCTTAGTGGCATTAGAGGGGTTATGACCATGAATTTAGGAGAGGCTAGGTTTTAACCTCTGAATGAACCACTGAAAATAAATTTGGCTCAGTCTTCATATTTTAATTAGAAATAAGCCAATTGGGTCATAAAAGTTGGGGTTTTGGGGTTTTGGGGTTTTGGGG